CGCGCGCACACACATCAGCGCACCAACCACCTCCCACCTCAAATGCTCGACAGCGGCACTAGCTGCGGCCCTGCATGTCTCCATACTCGTCTCAAATGCGCACCCAACCGCCGGCTCCTGATCTCCTCTTCCGCACTCACCACCAGGGGGCTTTGTGTCACAGGCCGCCCTCGTCTGCTGCTCTGTGGCCTTCGATAAACCTCCTCCTGGCTCACCGGCCGGCCCCCCTCCTCCCGCACCTCAGGGATCCACTTCATCGCCTCGCTCAGCAGCTGCTCCCGATGCGATCCCAGGCGCTCCAAATCATGCGCATGTTTCTCAAAGTATCTAAGTACCACGCCCCGGCTGAGGTGGGGGGACGGAGAGGGCGAGCAAGGGTGGCTGGGCGGGGGAGACGGCGACTGCACGCGAGACGAAGAAGAGCTGCCGCGCTGGAGGGCGGATATACGAACGAATCGTGCGCTGAGAGGGCGGGGTGCTGCCTCGTCTGGCGAGCGCGGCGAAGGCGATGAAGGGTTTGGGGCTGGCCGCTGAGAGACTCGATGGGGCGGTGCGCTCCTCAGCCTGGATACACATAAGAAGTGCATGCAGTGAGTCGGTCTTTGTGTGTCTCAGGCATACAAGAGTACGTACCGGAATCGTTTTGTGGCGCGTTCCACTGCAGTCTGGGGCTGCACAGGCACCGTGTCCTCCAGCGGCGAGACACGAGGAGATGTCACGTCTGTGGATGGGCTGGCACTGCTCCCCTCAATGCCATCATCACCTACAAATGCTGCGCCTTTCGCTTGCATAGCCTGGCAACAGAAGAGAGAAGAATCCCGTCGGGCAGCCATGTCTCGTACGCGACGTTTGGTCGGGTCAGCCTACCCGCCGCACACTGCTGCCAGTCAGGATCCTGCCTGGCGCTATGGGGAGCACCAATCTCGCCAAAATCTCCGGCCGCTCCGGCTGCGTGCCTTTGAGGAACGCGTCAAGGTCAAAGACCGTATCAGCAGCGTCTTCGTGATGAGGGGGGACAGCAGCGGCCTCCTTCGCGTGATGATGCTGTTGGTGATACTGCACGGGCGGCACATGTCGGGGCGTGGTAGACGTGCTGTAGAGCGAAACGCGATGGGTGGACGTGGGGAGGTCTGTGGGCGGCAAGGAGGTCCGCTGGATGAGGGGCCGGTCTGTGTCTGCTGCTGTGTCTTCGTGTTCTCTGAAGCTATTGGGGGGCACAATGAACTGCCACACCACTGGCTTGTCCTTCTTGGCGCCCTCTTTCTCTTTGTCACCCAGGCGGGTCATCGGGGGGGCCGCAGCCGCCTGAGGCATCGATACAGGCCCGTCATGCGGCCATCTGCGTGACACCAGCCATGGCAGACATATGGTCCCGTCGGCACAAGGGAGGGGAGAGTGGCCTTCTCGCCTCGCCTGTAAGCATGATGTGCGCTGAATGGGCGTGGTGACGCGATGGCTCGGATGCCAGGGGGAGATGTCGACGTTGGTGCAGGCTGCCGGGAGGTAGGAGACACGAACTCTCGTGCCGCCTTCTCAGTCATGGTGGTCAGATTGGTCCGGGCAGATGCATACAGCTGCAGACACACATACATGGATGAAGGCACCAATGAGAGATACAGCTGTCTCCTCGTCCATTTGTGCTCTTACCGGTCGCTCGGAGCCCTCCGGCCCCTGCCCGCCTTCATCCGAAGATCTCTCCTCGTCCTTGTGGCCAAAGGAGACAATTCCCTGTCGCACTGTCTTCCTCTTGTCCTTCTCTCGCTCAACGAGAGCTCTCAAACTGCTGTACAGCTCCTCCTGAACAAAAGAACACGTCCAGGTGACGAGGGCTCAATGGTGGTAGTGGTGTTGGCTGCTCGCTCACGGCAGGTCTCGCTCTGCGCAGCGCCACCAGATGAAGCGCCACGTCGAAGTCTCGCAAAGCCAGTTTTCTGGACCTCTCGTTCCTCGCTCGGGTGAAAACGGCCTCTGCGTCACGCACCGTGAAGGGCAGACATCTGGCGGCGCTCTGAGGACCGGTTGCAGACGATAGGGTTGTCTGAGTCCGCTGGCTCGTCCACTCGTGCTGTGCGGGAGGATCGGCCGGCTGCTGCATGGCAGCTGCCTTTCGTGTCTCCAGCCACCCGCACTGGCGACAGAGATCTACGAATTGGCCGGCAGACATGGTGTTACCGCCATCCTTGGCGGCCGCTCTGAAGGCCCTCTGCACAATCTTCGGCACCTCTGTCATGCGGGAGAGGTCTGTCTCTTCGACAGGTGCCGCGCGAGGGCTTCGAACCACTTCATGTTTGCTGCCTTGTAAAGAAGAGTCGCCGGCGGATGATGTCGAGTCTGTCATCTTGTCCTGAACGTGTGTTTGCGGCCTTCCGTCGCCACCAGCCGGGAGACGGGCCTCGATGTCCTCCCATGAAAGGCAGTCGCCGTCATGCTCACCGACGGACAGGGCGCGCCAGCGAGGGGAGATGAGACGGATCGGTGAAAAAGGCCCTACGTCCCTGGTCGGTTCGCCCCTCTGCACACCACCGCAGGCACCTTCTCGCACCACGTTTCTCTGCCGTTGTCTTGTGCATCTGACCTTATGGTGCGTGCGCATCGGCACCCTGCGGCATCTCGCTAGTGCGGGTGTGTCCACCACATCCATCGGCGGCACCATGACGCTGGGCACACGAAGGGAGATAACTGTCCTCTTGAGCGGGCCCGATGATGTGGGCGGTGAGACGGCAGCGGCAGGTGCTGTCTCCTTTTTGGCCTTGGCGTCCTCCTGTACGGCGGCTGCGTGTCGCTGCATCTCATCCGCTTTGGACTTGAGTGTCTTCTTGAGCAGCTCCCTTCTGCTTCGCGCCATGCCGCGTTCAAATCTGAAGTTGGCAGCGGCGAGACGGCAAATGCAGCCCTAGACAACCATGAAACAAGGGATTGTGATGCCAGTATGGATAGTGGGTACATTTGCGGTATCAGTCATCATACCTGCACCTCCTGAAGGGACTCGCGAAGCGCTGCATACACCGCAGAGCAAAGGCGGGCGGCAAGAGTGCATGAAATGGACCTGGTGTGCTGGTCACCTCATTTTTGCTTCTCTTCACTTACCTCCATTGTCGTTATAGTCCTTTTTCCCCGGCATTGTGGCCTTTCCGGGATCGTTTGCGAGCTTAGAAGCACGCTTTTTTGAAATCTCTCCCTTCAGCCCCCTTCTTTTTCCAACGCGCGATCCTCCTGAGCGCTGTGGTCCTCTGCCGGCCGGCTTTGCACTGTGAAAGTGCTTGCGATTCGTCCTTACGATTCGCTTGTGACCGCATCGGTTGTGACAGTCGTGCATCCTTGCTGTCAACACTTGGTCTTGCAATGGTCTTTCACAGAGCCCGACGAAATGCCATTGGCTCAGGTTGGCAAATGGCGCTGGCGCACTGACACGCTCCTTTCCAGAGCTCTGTGCTGGTCTCAGGCTGTTCTTTCGCTTTCGCTGTGTTCCTTTGTGGCGGTCGGCATCGCCAGTGGGGCCGCGCCAAAGCAGGGGAAAGGTACTCTGCACTGGGTATCATCTCGCATGCAGTGGTCTTTCTCTGTTGTTTGTGTGTGTTGCACATGCAGGTTATTGGCTGACAGCGCCGGAGCTGCAGGTGATCAATCCCTCGTGGACGAGTCCCGTTGTGGAAGTGACGGGCGGATACGAGGCCATCCGCACCCTCATCCATGAAACCGTCAACGACTACATTCACTACATCGCCAGGTGAGGCAGGCCGGGAAGGAAGGGCTCCTTTCACACATTCCGTCCTGTCTGTCTTTCCATCTGTGTCTGTCTGTGTGTCTCAGAGGCAACTTCGACGCTCATTTCGGCCACATGTATGCGCACCACAAGAGCATGCCGCCCGAGTGCAGCGAGGAGGCCAGCGTGTGCATCTTCTTCTTCGAGCTGCCGGGCGCTGACGGACACGCCGGCCAATACAAGGCCTTCACCGCTGACGAATGCACCACGTGCTGCGAGTTCGGCGGCATAGAGGGGCGGCCACCCATGTCTATGCGCATACAGGTACTCATGAATGAAGGGAGAATGAACGGCACTGCACTGCACTGCTCTGCGTTCCGCTGATGGGCGCCGTGTTGTGTTGTGTCGTGTTGTGTTGTGTGTCGTCGTCTTTGGTATGTGTAGGGGCCGGCGAAGGTGACGCTTTACCAGCGGCCGGAGTGTGAGCCGAATGTCCTGGACGAAGGGGCGTGGGGGCTCCCCGAACCTGCATACGAATGGTGAGACCTTTTGTCTCTCCCTCTCTGTGTCTCCAATGGAATGGCTGTGTGTGTCTATGTCAGGGTGATAGAGAACCACCGGGGCGACCGCGACGCCACTGTGTTCCATCTGGGAGGGAGAGACGTGTGTGCCGTGCCCACAGACGTCACCTACGGCAACCCCCCCGTCACCGCCAGAATGTGGCCCTTGGCAGACGAACAGCTCTACAAGTAACAAAATAACGATGACTTCCACACTCGAAGCCGCCACATCTCTGGCTGTCCGTGTCTCATCATCTCGTGTGTCAGTGAGTCGTTTTACTTGCCCTTCCTCCGTCAGCTGGATGCCGTGGGTGGCGTGCACCTGGCCCTCCCCGCCGACCAATGGAGCAGCCGAATCTACCCCACACTGAAGGAGTGGTTCCACCCGGTGGTCCCTCTCACCTTCGACAAGTTCCAGGCCACCTGGCAGAACGTCCTGGTCAGCGATGAGACGTTCGACATCAAGGTGGAAAACAATGACACCATCAAGTACAGCGCCAAGCAGGAGCTGTACCAGTACGCCATCAACGACACGATGCGGGAGCACATCGCCAAGCCCCCCTACTGTGTGCCGCCCGACTGTGACCAGGACTGCAAACCCACTGTCAGGGGTATACGATCGCTCAAGGTGCAGAAGCTCTGATTTATGAATGGATGGCATGATGTGGGGGGTGGGGGACTCTTTCTTGTGGGCATTCGTGCCATGGGGATTTGTTTGTTGCCGTGTGTGTCCGTCGTGTTTTGCCATGTCGCCTGTGAATATTGTAAGGCGTGATCCATCCACGCATCGACTCACGAGGACAGGAAGTCGCCCACACCCATTCGTCCGTCCATCCATCCATACACACCCATCCATCTATCTATCTATCCCATGCCAACACAGTCATCAATCCATCAGCTTTGCTGAAAGACTGCATGGACGGCCATCCGCAGACAAGCACACTCTACCACTATCTACACACACACACACACACACCCAAGTCTGGCCATATGGCTATGGGTTGACCCTGCACTCATCCCAGCACATCTGCCCGCTACTCTCATCCACCCGCCTCGTAAACAGGTGCCGCAACTGCGGGTTGGGCTTCAGCTGCAAATAGTCGACCGACTCGGGAGTCAAAATGACCAGACAGAAGGTGTCTGGGGGGCTGGACGGGTCGGGAGCAGGGGGGTAGAAGTCAGCCTGGTCGTCAGCGTCGGGCGGCCGGGGCGCACGGGGCTCGGGCCACACAAACTGGATGCGGGCGTTGTCACTGCACAGACGGGGAATAACACGACACAATTGCTGCTTCCGTGGTGAACGGATGGATGGATGGATGTGTGTGTACCTGAGAGCCTTCCAGGTGTTGACGCGCTCGCGGGCCCATCTCTCGTCGGTCTCTTGGGGCGACACCACTCTCAAGTTCCCCGCAATCCGAAACTGGTCGCGACTCCTCTCGAAGTACCAGCACGCCTCAGCCGCGGGGTTCCTCTCCACCTGCCCCACCTTCTGCGACCGAGCGTCCGTGATGATCTTGATCAGCCCTTCAGGCGAGGTCTTGTCCACAAACCCGCGGAACACCACTGTGCGGCAGCGGGGCCGGCTGGTCTCATCGATGGTCGCCAGCTGGAACCACTTGGCTGGAGGGTTGTTGCGGTTCTGGTGGATGTTCTTCTCCACTGCCCGCATCCAGCGGGGGATGGCGGCGGGCAGAAGAGCCTCAGGCTCACCCTCCTGCTCGTCTGCGGCCGTCTGCGGAGGGGCAGGGGGAGCAGCACCGATATCAGCGAGACCTGCATGTTGTAGAAAGCGACGTTCATAATGATCTTGCTGTCTTTTTGAATCAGTGTGGCGACCTACCTTCGCTGGCCATCTTGTTCCCCCTGCTGGTCGTCAGGGTAAGAGCAGCGGATGCTGTGCGCAGCGTCGGGATCTGAGCAGGGAGATAGAACGCAGTGACAGTTGCAGCCAGTGTAAGAGAGAAGGCCATCCACGCGATTGCAGAGTGTCGCACTCGTGCCCTAAATCAATTGCGAGCTTTTTGCCATTCACTGAGTTGGGAGTTGGAGTTGGAGTTGGGCACGACTTGGGACTGCAGAGGCTGCCGAAAAGGTATGGGTCATTGCTGTGAACGATGAATGAATGAACACGTGAATGAACGATGCAATGAATCTGTGTGTGTTGGATTTGTTGTGTCCTCCATAACCCAGTCCAGCAGCCCATGGCGCTCGTTCAGTTCCAGTTCAAGGTGAAGGTGAAAGACGTCAGACGGGGCGGATCAGGTGAGGACGCACACGCGCGCACACGCCGCAGCACACTCACTGGCACATGTGGACGACGCTGTCCTGATGCGTCGTGCATCCATGCAGTAGCATTGGTGATTGGCAACCACACTCTCCCCATGAGCCCTCCCTCACCTACGGAGGGCCGCTGGAGTGTTTGCGTGGCCGTTCCGTCAGGAGAGCACAAGTACAACTACGCCATCACGACCCCAGATGGGCAGATCCGGCGAGACGACAACGGCAACGACGGCATGCCCATGTATCCGCCTGAGAGGGTGGAGCGCATAGATCCCGACGGAGAGCACGGTGCGCTGCACATCATAGTGGACAGCTTCGGCAAGTATGGAGGGAAATGGGTCATCGTGACGCCCTCACATCAGGTGGGTGGGTGAGGAGGGAGCGGCACCAGTGAAGTGGATTTGGACGGAAATCTTCTGTGGTCGTTCAGGCGTCTCAGGCTCCCTTCTCATCGCTGAACGCCATCCAGTCGCCCACGCCCTTCACCGCCCTGCCCACCACACACGGCCAGATGACCACGCTGCCCAACACAGTGAAGATCCACGCGTCCACACACGAACGCCCCATCACCATCGGCTTCACCGACGCTGCCAGCGAGGCCACACGGCGGCTGTGCATCGGTGTCGCCTGCGAGGAGATGACGGCGTCAGCGGCACGACACCTCTTCTGCCAAGGAGCCGATGCGAAGGCGACCGTGACGGTAGACGGCCATCGGCGGGCCCTGGTCCAACTGCTGGCCAAGTACCACCGTGCTGCGGTGTGTGCTGCGGGCGTGCTGCGAGTGCTGCTGGATGCGGGCGCCGGTCGAGACGCAGACAACCTCCAGTACTGTCTCGAGAAGGACAGATGGGACCTCATCGAGGTCCTCCTCGAGCCACAGTGCAACTGGGCCGGGGTTGTGGGAGTGTCGCTACTGCGCGAGTTGGCAGTGGCCGACGACCAATACCTGACGCCAGCGGCCCGGCTGCGGATGACAAAGGCCGCCGGCGACCGCGATGCGTCGGTCTTGACAGAGGAGGACGACAGTGGGATGCAGCCCATCCACTGCTTCTGCCAGCATCCGCTGCGAGACAGTCAGTGCCAGGAGCTGCTCATTGACTACTTCGTGGCCAAGGTGGGCCCGGATGTCGTCAACACACCCGACGAGGACGGCGAGAGGCCGCTTTGGTACGCGTATATCGACTTGTCGGACGGTGGTGGGCGAGACGAGGAGTGGGAGGGTGAGGGTGAGGGTGTGGACGAGGCGACGGTTGACCGTCTGTGCCACCACGGCGCCGCGCAGCACATCAACACCCCCAACAGCGATGGACGCACGCTGCTCAAGGCCGTGGCCCAGTCGTTGGCGGGCACAGACACCGAGGTCCTGGTCAACCTGCTCGAGCACGGCGCGTCTCTGGCAGCGGCTGACGCGTGGCCAGGGGCCGTGCAACGGGCCCCTCTGCAGACTGCGAAGCATCGGGGCTGGGATGACATGGAGAGCGACAGCAGTGGCGGCGGTCTGAGCGAGCCGGATGTGGTGGTTTCCACGCCAACATGGAAGCGCGTGGTTCCGACGCCATCATGGAAGCGCTTGCTGGTCGACGCCTACCGGTCGTTTCTGAACGTGTCGGTCCCCCGCATGGCCATGCGGACCATCAACGACGCCCTTCGCCCCAGCCGCTCCCTCACGGCCTCCCTCACCCGGACCATCCCCCTCCGCACCAACAGCATCACGCTGCCAGTGGACGTGCTAACGACCGTTGGTCAGTTTATGCACCACCGCCCCCACATCCACATAGGCGATCAGCCCGTCGGTGACCGCACCAACCGCACCGTCGACCAGTATGTGCGAGAGGCAAAGCGCATGATCATGACCCAGGAGGACGGCAACGCCCGTTTGCTGGGCGGCCATGGGCGGCCCCCACTGCGGTGTTTTGCCGTCCGCGGCGAGGCCGATCGGTGTATGGGCATCTGTGAGATGCTGTACAGGGCGGTGAGGGCGGAGGCGACAAGGTGGGACATCCGTGTGACGATTCAGCGGCCCCACTCCTCTGACGACGAGATACTGGAGAACTTTGCGATCGTCAAGCGGGACACAGCGCGACAGCAGGCAGGCGAGAAGGCCATGGAGGCCGGGATGGCACCGTAGCGCGGCGACATTTTCGTGAATGGTAGCTGATACGAGTGGGCGAGTAGGCGTGGGTCGGTGGTGTTGATTGGGGAGGGAGGAAGAGCGTAGCGGCGGTTTTGCCTGGTGGACCGTCCAGTCCATGGGTGTGCATCCATCAAGTGATAGTGATGATCGTGGAGCGATACCTCTACGATGATGATGGTGGGTGCAGTGGTCAATCGATGCCTAGGGAGCGGAGCGGATGTGTGTGATACGATAATTAGTGAGCTGTTGGCCGTGTAGGTTTGTGATGACGGAGAGATCTGCGTGGTTGGTTGTCCATACGTCTGTGGGTTTAATGCATTTCATGTACTTCACTGCACACCGTCGCCAGGCCAGGAAGATAACAACGTCATCCCATACACATACAAGGTCATTCCTCAGAGAAAGAGAGACACTGCAAACCACTGCACATGGACGGGTTGCCCGTCACTGCACACAGCTGTCAAGGGCTTCACGCGTGCACGCCACGCCCACACGACCGACCAGTCATCTCCCCGACGAACATTGCTCAGAACGCACGATGTTCCGAGCAAGCCTGTTGCTCTTGACACCCAACCTGACACACACACTCACACACACACACACACAATGCACACACCAGCATTAGCCGATCCATCCATCCATCCATGTCGCCATGCTTCTCACCTTGTCTGTTCGGCGAGGTGTCGTTTGAGGATGGATGCCGTCTCCTTGCGCAGCCGGCGCTTCTCCATCTTCTCGTCGGCGGTCAGCTCCTTGCCCTGACAGACACGCAAGCAAAGCCACAATACAATACAACACCACGACACACACACGAGCAATGCAGTCCATTCATGCACCAAGCCCGACCTCAGTGAGCATGAGTCTGGGGTTGTTGGTCTTGTCCTGGAGGGCTGCAGCGACAGGGCCGCCAGGCGGGGTGCGGTTGGGTATGCGCTGGCGATAGACGTAAGCCACCGACCGATGGGCAGCCCTGACGTCAATGAGATCGGGACAGACAGCGCAGTTGGCGGCAGTGACGGTGTGTAAGGCTGGCGTGGCGTGTGTTGCCTACTCTCTTCCATCGGGCAGCTTGAGGTTGCCAGTCGCAGTCACCTCAGCACTCGACAATCCGCTGAAGAAGGAGAGCAAGACAGGCAGAGGGAACCAAAAGTGTGGCAGCGTTCTTTTGCCAGTCCATGATTCCGTCCGGCCCTTGGGCACTCACTATTGCTCGAGTATGGCGCCGAAGTCCTCCTCATCGCTGATGTCGATCTCGCCCTCCTCGTCCACGGCCTCCCACTCGTCCTCCTCACCAGCGGCCTCCTCCGGGATGTCACTCAGACGCATCCGCTCAGGCCCCTCCACTGCTGCTGTTGATGGAGGGGGCTGTTTGCCATCGCTCTTCAAACGACGCGCAGCGTACAGCTGCAGGCAGGCAGCAAGGACAAGGGAGGAATGGCAGTCCGTGTTGGTTGGGGCTGGTAGTACTGGTGTTCTCCCTCTGCGCCTGTGTGGGTGGGGTGTCTTTCTTCCTGTACCTCCTTGTATGAGGCCCGGTAGTCGTAGAAGGGCTCGATCTCCGCCAGTATCTCCTCGTTGTCGATGCCCACCTGCGTGTGACCTTTGGCCAACTAAATGAAGTGAAGCGAGCAGAGCCAAACGATGGGTGTGGTGAGCGTGGGTGTGGTTGACAGCCGACGCACCATGTGGTCTCTGACAGCGGACAGGCTTGAAAAGACCTTGTTGCAGTACAGACACTGGTGTCGCTCGAACACCTTGCCGCCAAGGAACCTGACAGACAGACAGACAGACAATCCAGCATTGATGACATCGCTCTCGCATGACATGACACCACCCGCCGAGCCGCCCACCTGAGCAGGCCCTTGATGTCGACCAGGTACTCTGCGTCAGGAATGAAGAACGAGTAGTGCTGGCCCATGTATGTCAGCAGCCTGCACACTCACACAGACAGACAGACAGACACCCATCCTCCACGTCTCTCTCTCCCCCTCTCTCTCTCTCCCTCTCTCTCTCTCACTTGTCGATGCTCTCGTGTTCAGTGTCATCGAAGAAGCACTGCGTCAGCTTGTACTCGACGCTGCTCGGCTGTGCTGGCCCAGCGGCAGAGGGCGCCTCGGCGGTGCTCGAGGATGCGGCAGTCTTGTCGTCTTTGTCCCCTCTGCCCCCCTTCCTCCTGTCTGTCTGCTTCAGATGGCCGACGCCCTTGACCGTCACCTGGGGACAGACAACAAACACCACACAGTGCAGACAGAGGACATGCAAGGGCCACATTGTATGTGGAGTGACTCACGGACTGACTGCAGGACTGACTGACCGGAACTGATGCGAGCAGCGCCAGCTTGCCTGACATCACGCAGGCACATACAGATTGGCCAGACGATGAACGCTGCAAGGGCTTACGCTCAAACATCTGGAGAGAGATGGGACCGATGCCTGTCAGTCAGTCAGTCAGTCAGGACACACGCGCGCTGATCGGTGGGCCGGGTGAGTATTGTGGTCATATACTCACGCTAACTCACCAGCCACCTTGCGCTTGAGGTTGTAGCGGTGCCTGAGAGGACAATGCGATAGTTCAAACACCACCCACGAGCTGTATCTCATCGTTGTCGCTAGTTCACCAGTCGGTTTTGTAGTGACGTCGCTGGCCTTCGGCATCGTCAAGCGTGATCTGGCACGCTGTACACTGAACCGTGGGTGACACACAGGCAACGTTCACATCCAGTGAGCGAGTGTGTTCAGGGAGTGCCAGTGACGCTTTCCTTTCTCTTCTCACCTTCAGAGCTGAAGAAACCTCCATTGCTTCTGTCGTCTGCATACGTACGATAGATACTGTCAGACGCTGCTGCTGTCCTACCTCTCGTGGTCCGCGCTTCGTTTGTCGCCGGATTTGCGAGCTTGCAGCTATCCCTCCCTCTTGTATCTTGTGCTCGAAAGTGACGGGTGCGGTGCATTGCATCCGACTGAGGGATCATTCCCTATCGTAGATCTTGCATCTGTGCATCTGCTTGTCCCACTGCGGGTCGACCTCTGCAACGGCTCTCGCCAAAACAAAAAGCTGATCGGGGTTTCCAAGCTTACGTGTGCCCCTCCGACTCCCCGTCCGTGGCCTTCTCTCTCAGCTTTGTCTTGCTTTGAGGCGGTTTCACCTGAGCTGCCTCCCTCTCTGGTGCAACGTCCTCCCTCCCGGCCTGGTGGCGCCTGCCGCCCTCCCCTGTGTCGCACAGCTCCCCTCTGTCTCACCCGCGTCTCTCTCTGCCCGCAACGCCGCCATCTGAGTGAAGCAACGGCAGCAAGACAAGCAGGAGCCGCATCCACCCTGCCTGTCTCCGCCCTGCGACCAGGCCGCCCGACCGAGTGTGTGCCGTCACGTCAGCTGATTGCTCGTGTCTCTCGGGGAGCCGTGTCCCCGTCTGTGCATTCATCTGATGACTCACGCCGGGCACCACACGAGTGAGGAAGCCACCCCGTCCACATCTGACTCGCCCACCACCTACTTCGACCCACCCTCCTCCAAGCAGTCCCCCGCCACACAGGCTTCCGCCGCCAACAGCGACGACCACACCACCCAGCAGCAGGGAGTGCCGCCCGCGGCCAAGCAGGCGCTCACAATCCGTGTGCCGGGCAAGACCAACACCGACGAGGACCGCGACAAGCCGACGCCCACCACGGCCATGAGCACCGCCCCATCCGAGACGGGCCGCACGGGCGCCCTCACCAAGAGCGCACTCAGACACACCGACCTCAAGCGCGAACACAGAGACAGAAACCTGTTCGGTGAGCACCGCATGGCAAAGGCCGAGACAGGAGGGAAGCTGGGAGGGAGACGAGACACACATGCATGTGTGTGTTGGTCGGGTGTGTGTGTGTGCAGTGTTCCATCTGCCGCCTGACTGGAACGACAAGGAGCTCGAGGAGGTATCGTGTCACACCCACAACACACCCACAACACACACACACACACACACATACATCTCCCCGAGTGTTGATTGATCTCACTCTGTGTTCTCTGTCTGTCTGGTGTGTGCTGTGTTCGTTCAGCACTTCGGACACTTCGGCACTGTGGTGAGCTGCCGTGTGGTCAAGAAGCAGGACGGCACTACGCGCGGCTTCGGGTTCGTGCTGTACGAGACGCCCGAGGAGGCCAAGACGGCTGTCCTCAAGATGAACGGCTACACCATCCAGGGCAAGCGCCTCAAGGTGGAGTTCAAGAAGACCCCCGAGGAGACCCGCTTCCTCTGGAACTCACTCTACCAGGATGTCCACGGGCAGAACATACTGGTAAGACCATCACCCCTCCCCGACCACACCCACACCCAACACTACCACCACCACCACCAGCACACAATGGGGGGAGGAGGGGCCGCATGGGGTGCGGCCGACGGCTATGGCGGCGGGCACGGCTACGGCTACCCTTTCGATGAGCAAGACCACACACTGACGACGACCCCCCAGATGTACCCCTACGCCCACGTGCACCCCTACCACTACTCGGCCGGCTACCCCTTCCCACACCCATCACCAGCAGCCCAACACGACTCCCCCTTCTCCCACCACAACCACCCCGCCCACGCCCCCTCCCCCCGCCCCCTTCCCTGCCCGTCAGTCGTGCCGCCCGCCTCTCCCACATCGCTGTTCGACCTCGACCTCACCCTCAAGGCGCATGTGCTCAACGATCGAGAGGAGGAGCTGCGCAGCCAGAGGAAAGTTCCGGCCGTCGTGGAGGGTGGGACCGGGGGCGAGGGTCGTGCCTTCTCCGGCAGCCAGGAGGTGTCGGACGTCGTGGGAGAAATCCACAAGGTATGTAAGGCCCACGACGACACTGACTGACGGGGGGAGGGGAGAGGGAGGGTGGGAGGCGACCCGACCCGACCCTGCTCCTCTCTCCTCCACTCACGGCTCTATCTCTCACTCCACTATGTCGGCCTTCCTCTCCCTCCCGCGGCCAACCGATGACACTCTCATCTCATAACACGGCCATGTCCAGTCCGACACCACTGCATGTCGTGTGCACGCGACACGTGCCTGAGCCGCCTTCACATGTGGGTCTCTCTGGGTGGGGTGCTCTGTGTGTGCGTGTGTGTCTGCCAGGTCCAGGGTCGGCACGGTCCCCGAGGCTGCAACATATTCGTCTTCCACGTGAGCACTCACCGCACCACTCGCACATCCATCCACCTAATAAATGAATGGAATGGTGTGTTGTACGTACCTTGGTGTGTCTTGTCTTGTCTTGTCGCCTCTCAGGTGCCTGCGGCCTGGAATGACGACAAGCTGCGCGAGGTAGGTACACGCATGACACAGACGACACACACACACACACAGAAGCCACACGCGCAGCGCTCATCCCTTGGCTCGCTCACTCTTGTGCGTTTGGTTTGTGTTTGTGTCATGGTCGCACGTCAGCTGTTTGGCAAGTACGGTCGCATCGTGAGTCTGCGTGTGGCGCGCAACGACGACGGCAACAGCCGCGGGTACGCATTCGTCAACTTCGACAACCCCATCTCGGCCCTACACGCCATCACCGGCATGGATGGATTCTCTGTCGAGGGCAAGAGACTCAAGGTAACCACTCAGACGCGCACACCAGACAGACACCACACCACCGCTCTAATGCTCCCTTCCCTCTGTCTGTCTGTCTGTCTGTCGTGTGTGTATGTGATGTGTGCAGGTTCAGTTGAAGCGTGGCGAGGAGCAGTTTGCCCGTGCCTACCTGGGCGCCCCTCCCCTCGCCCCCAGCCCCTCCCAGTTCGGCAACCTCCGACTCGCACCCACCTCACCCGGGGCGGCGTTCCTCAACTACTACCCCCACCACGCGCAGCACGCCCTTTCTCGCGGCAACACCCCCACTCCCAGCCCCATCAACCCCCAGCACCCCGGACCGGCCTACGACGGCTCCTACGGCTACCCACACGTCGCGCCGCGCTCATTCGACTTCAGCAGAGGTGGCGGGGGCGCCTCGCCGTCCGCCCAGGGCCTCCCGCACCCCTACCAGTCCGGCTACCCCTACGTGTACAAGCAGCCCAAGCCGTCGTCCGGATCGTCCCGGATGCCCAAGCACACCCCTCCCGCAGTGCCCCTGTCGATCCCCGAGATCGCCAGCAACGGCCACGAGGACCCGCAGTCGCGCTTCGGCACCAGCCTGCCCAACGAGTGGCCCCCATACATCCCCACCGGCTACCGCAGCACCATGGGCATGCGCGGCTACTCGAGATACGACGAGCTCGCCTACCGCGGGGCGCTCACGCCGTCCTACTCGCGATCGGGCATGGTGGAGATGTCGCCCAACGGCATGGCCATCAGAGGGGGGGTCCCGCAGGGCGCCCCGCAGCACAGCAGCTCACGAGGCCGCTTCAACGACGCCACCAACCTCTTCGGTGAGCTGAGTGCACACACATGGGGGGGAAGGGAGGGAGGGAGGGAGGGACGAGGGAGGGAGCGTGTGTGAGGGCTTGTTGGTGGTTGTGGCTTGTGTGTGTGTGGTTCATTCAGTGTTCCACCTGCCACCCGACTGGTGTGACGCCGACCTCCACCACCACTTCGGCAAGTTCGGCCCCATCCAGTCGGTCAAGGTGGCCGTCGACAACGTCACGGGGCTCTCGCGCGGCTTCGGGTATGCCAATCAGCCAGCCAGCCAGCTGCCTCACCCCCTTCTGCATATTGTGTGGTGTGGTGTGGTGTGGTGTGTGTAGGTTTGTGTGCTATCAGACGTACATGTCGGCGTTGGCTGCCATCCAGGGCATGAACGGCTACGTGGTGGGCCGCAAGCGCCTCAAGGTCGAACTCAAGAGACAGGACGCTAGGTGCGCTGGCTGGGCTGGGCTGGGCCACATAACAGACACTCCGATGGGGCCCGGTGGCACATCACATGTCGTGGTGCTCCTGTGTGTGTGTGCGTGTGTGTTCAGGCGTGACGTTCGCAGGCCCCCCCGCGACACCACCCTCACGCCACAGTGAATGACATGACGCGGGCGACACGACACGACACACCCGCAACGTGTCCATGTTCACTACCTAATGAGTGAATGCATGATTGATGGGGGCGGGAGGGAGGTGCGTACGTAGCAATGACGAATAAGTACAGAGAGAGAGAGGGATAGCTGTAGCGGTCCAGTGGTGGTGGGTCTATCGGTGGGTCGGTCAACACTCACAACGAACGGCCCCCCTCCCCTCCCCTCTCGCCAGACAGAGCAGTGCTGCCTCCGTTCCGTGCCCGCGGTCTCTTTCTCTCTCCCCTGTCTGTCTGTCTGTCTGCCTGCCTTCCTGTGTCCATGTGTATGCATGCATCTCCAGTCCCTATTTATCGCCACCCTGTCTGTCTGTCTTGTCTAGTTTAATACGCATCCTCTTGATGACCGACCGCATGTGGGCACATGCAGCGCAGCCAGAGCAAGCATTGATTGGGTGCCTCAGTTGTCTGACTGACGACGAGCCGAGAGGGCGGGAGGGAGGGAGGGAGGGAGGGAGGAGAGAGGGAACGAGAGTAGACACGAGAGTGGGAGTGTGGATCGCACTGCATACTTCATACGCTGCCTTGCTCTTCTGTGCTGTGTTGCTGGCTGCCTCGCCTCGTATGCTCACTCGGCCGCCTACCTCACTTACTGATGGCTGCCCACTGCTGCATACGTGCCACGGCCACACCACACCACACCACACCACACCACACGACGTCATACCTACATGCCATTCCACGTTTTCGCACACAGCCACACCTTCACCCAGCTGCTGCATGACTCACTCGCTGGCCACACGCACGCCCACATGCCCGCATACATACATACACACCCACTCTCTCTCCTCGTTGCCTTGCTGCATGGAATGGCCACTGACTGACATCCATTTGTCCACTCATCCCATCCATGGCATACATGGCTGCGTTGCCTCTGCTGCTACAGTAAGCTCGGATGCCGTCTACGCAGGTTTGCATGTTTATCGTGTGTGCGTGCGGTGCGCTTCAACAGGTGCTACTGACTTCTGCTGATTGGGAGAGGGAGGGTGGGCAGACAGACAGACACCTGGATAGAACAGAAACATCAGTCAGCCGACGCCACGGCCGTGAGGGTCAGGGTCAGGGCGGACAGACAGACAGTGACACAAACAAAAGAGACGAACGGGACGGAAGAAAGGAGGCATCCATCCATCGACGTCAGCATCTCTATCCACATGATTGATCTGATCCACATGCTGGATTCTTGGCCTGGCCGCCTGTTCCTACCAACAGACAGACCCGACCGTGTGCATGTATCCCTGACAGCACGACTGGCTGGCTGGCTGTATGCACTTACTGTCTGTCTGTCAGATCGATGCATGGTAGATGGATGATACTGGGGGACCTGGAATACACGAGGGCCGCCCACATCACATGTATACATGTAGGTGTACAAGCATGGCATGGCCTGCCTCGCCTCGCCTCGCCGCCTGTCTGTGCGTTTGTTCGTCAACTCTCTGTCTGCCCTGCCTGATGTGATTGATGTGGGGGGACTGGGTGGGGGGGGTTGTGTGGGTGAATGGGGTTGCCTGCGATAGATAGCTGATATGATGCATTCGAATGGGGCGGGGTGTATAAGTGATGTGTGGTGTGTGTGCGTACGGCTGTCATTTGTACCAGAGCATCGTGCGTGTCTCTCCTATCTACGCTGTCGGCTGGCATTTCCCCTCTTCGCTCGCTTCTGTCTGTATGTCTGACTGACGTGACTAGCTTTCTCGCTCTGTACTCTGTCTGTCCGCTCCAGTATGCAGCTTCAACTGCTTCCTCTGCATCCTCTGCATCCTCTCTCCTCATCATGTGTGTCCCTCCCCCCCTCCACGTTTGTGAGTGTACGCGTGTGTGAGGGCGCTGTCTGGGAAAGTCCAGGCCGGACCGCCTCTCTCTCTCTCTTTTGCCAGGCAGCCATGGGCGAAGTCGCCCTGTCGTGAACGGGCGACACACACACCGCTCAACCTTGACACACAGACACACACAGCCACACAGCCATGGTGTTTGTGTGTCGTTTGTGTAGCGCGAGATGATGTGATGTGTGTCGCCGCCCGCCGTGTTTCGTCTCTCTATTTATCCCATCCATGTGAGTGTGTGCGTACCTGCTTACCTACCTACATCTACTTACAGGGTGTGCGTGGCATGCAGCGGTGCATTGCACCCCAGAGCCGGTCCGTACATCAATGCGCCTTTCTCCCTTCCGATGGCGCACGCCTTTCTGCATTCCTTCCCTCCCCATTGAGTGAGTAGTGGATTCGATTCATCAGCGTTTCCCTCTTCCCCTCACTACTGATGGATGGATGGATGGATGAACTCAGCCTACGCTGGACCTAACCCTTTCTCGGGGGTCTCTTGGTTGGTTGAGTGCTGCTATGTACCATGTTTGTTTCCTTGTCCTGCTGCCTGCATAGCTGCCGGCCTGCCTGGCCGGCCGGCTGGCTGGCTGGCTGGCTTCCGCGTGGTGTGTACTCTCGATTGGTCTGGCTGTCTGGTACACGAGCAGTTTTCATTCATCATCCATCGTGTTTGTTGAATGCATGAGAGTGAATATATGGCGAGAGATTTCCTCTTTTCCTTTCTGCCCGTGTGTATCTCTATTGGTCGATACAGGGCAGCATTTCGTTCTTCTGTTCGTCTGGCTGTCTGGCTGCTGTTTGGTTGCTTTGGACGTGGCCTGGAGTGGCGTTGCGTTGCGTTGGGTTTGGTTGTATTTCGGCGCTCCTCCCATCCCTTGTCCGTCTCGAGGATCTACCTGTTTGTGTGCATCCGAGAGAGGCAAGGAGGGAGGGAGGGCGGGGGAGACCATTTAGGAACCAGAGACCAACCAAGCAGCCCATTGCCCCGTTTGTCCGTTGGTTATGCCAACCTACCTGTGTGCCTACCTGCCTGCGTCTTCTTCTTGTTGCCTTTGCCCTGTGTGTCAGCCAGGTGGCGGGGGCAGGGGCAGCACATTTGTGACGAGACGGAGACGGCCGGACAGACCAGACTTGAGTTGGGATTTTTCCTTTTGAGAGCCGAGCGAGGCGATTCGGCGGCGTATGAGTATGAGTATGTGTGTGTGAAGTGAAAGTGTATCTGTGTTGTGTTATGTTTTTTTCCTGCATTTGCTGTCCGTGCGTGTGTGTGTGTGGTTTGTATTTGTAGTAAACCGACAGAGTTTGTCCATGACGTGGCGGGAGCGGCCATTGGCTCCCCTCTGTTGCCTCCGTTGCTTCCCTTCCGCTCCGCTCAGACAGACTTTGTTTACCACCGTGTTCACTCACCACACTTGCTGCCAGCTTCCCTGCCTGCCTCCAGCCGATCTCTGCGAACTGCTGATATGTTGTTTGTCCCACAGATGGCGAGTCGGGGAGGGAGAGAGTGCTGCTCGGCCGCACGCCTCTTCTCGTCTCGCTCGCCTCTCTCTCGCCTCCTTCACTCACTCTCTCTCTCTCCTGGATGGATGGATGGATGGAAGGCGCCTGACTAGTGTGTGATGCTCTCCTCGCTGTGTCGATCGTATTTGTGTAGCTAGCTAGCTACTATCACCCAACTACACGACAGGCGGAAACCTCTTCCTCTCTCGTACTTGCTTCCTTGCTGTATTGGTGTCACTCACTCACTCACTGTCTGTCGACTCGACTGTTTGAAGGGCCACTCTGTCGTGTCTCGTGTGTGGATGGATGGATGTGTGGTTTTGTTTGTGTGTATATCTGATTCGATTCAGCACCGACCGACCGACCGACCAGGCTGCATCGCATGTGTCTGTATTGCATACAGACGGATCGGCCGGGCAAAGCAAGCGGGGTGGCGTCTGATGGATGGATTGAATGTCTCTTTTTCAGCTTTTTCAGCATTAACATCGTCTCGTTCGTTCGTCGATTCATTCCTGCGCAGCTAAGCTAGCACAGCTGTGCTGTGCTAGGCTAGCTGTGTTCCTGAGTGCCGTGAAGTGCCGTGTCTGTCGTGCCGTGTGTGCCGTGTGTTCGTTCGTAGTCGGGTCGGTCTGCGTCGCTGCTGTCGGTCACACCAAACCAACTCAACCCACCGGTGTCCAATCGACTGGTCAATCAAGGGGTATTCTACTTGCTCGCCAACTAACTCTCTCTCTCTCTCTGTGTGTGTCTGTCCGTAGTGTGGTGTGTGCCTAGTAACTGCCTCCCTGCCTGCCGTCCTGAGGCTGCCTAAGCTTACTCTCCTTCTCGCGTGTAAGTGTGCGGTCGGGGGGACACTCGCTGGGTGTGTTGTGTGATGGCTCTCACTGACTGACTAGCTGACTAGCACGTATTTCGTGTGGGCGTGGGGATGGGGAGGGTGGGTTGGGTGCGTGACGTGTTGAATGGACAATGTGTATTCATTGAGTAGCCACACTTTCCTGCACGCTGCTGCATCCGCAACCTGCTGCATCCGCAACCCCACGACCAGCCTGTACACACACAGAGAGAGAGGGAGGGAGGGAGGGAGAGGGGGGGAGAGGGGAGAGCAGGAACTGACTAGTTCCCACACACATTGATTCGATTCGACTGACCGTATTTGTATCATCTCATCGACTACCTACCTACTTACCTATACCTACTTACTATCTGCATGCCAGCCTGCCTGCCTGCCGTGCCTTCTCTCTCGCCTCTCCTTGTCGGCTGCACAGACCAACGCAACGGGACATACATCGACCGATCGTATGTACCATTGCACGCTATGTGACAATCTGCAGGCTTCACGCAGCAGCAGCAGCCACAGGGAGGGGGTTTTGCTACAGCACAGCACAGCAGGGGGCGGGGCGCACGAGAGACAACGCCAAGACGGACGGCAGTTCGGATGGCGTGTTTTGGCAGGGAGGGGAGGGGTGGGGTGCAGGGCGGAACACTTTATGGGCGGGCGGGCGGGCACTCGATCGACCGGTTCATGTCCGTACATACATACTTGCCACCTGTCCGCCTGCCTGCCTGGCTGGCTGCCTGTTTTGGGCTGGCTTGTCAAGTGAGTCACTGATTTCGTGAATTGGGGGGCGAGGCGGGTCGGGTCTTTGAAGGGACTGGCTGGCTGGCCGGATGGCTGGCTGCGTACATTCCCACACATGCATGTTCGCCACCACTGTTCACATGATGTCCATTTGTTGGGTCGCCGTGCTCACCCCACCCGTAAGTAAGGCAACATTTCATTGCATTCGCACATCCACACTCATCCGTACGATCCCCACCCACTACACACATAGATAGATGTGTAACACAGGGACAGGGGAGTGCCTATCTTATATAAGCTACTTGCCGCGGATGGGATGAGAGCACGGTTTTCCTATTTTTGTATCGGGGGGGGGGGGGGGGGGGGGGGGGGAGGGAGAGGAGGGGGGGACGGCCACCCAAACCATCGCACCCGCCCACCTACCGATACCCATTGATGGGCCTGTGGACAGATCTCTTCCGTCCAGTCAGTCTTTCTTGCGCAAGTGTGTACGTGGACACGTTCTCCGTGCGTGCGTTTTGGCCA